GTCGGACCGCCTAAGCATGCTGTGTCAGAGATCCATCCTCGCGGAACTACAATATTTGAGAAAATTGTCGTTCGCAGCATTTATACACGAATAACCAGAAACTGGCTGCAGTCACAGCTGCTTGACGCTGTACAACCACCAGTGTATGATCTACAGGTATGCTCGAGGAGAGGTCTCATGGTATCTGCGAGGCGCCTCGTGCTTACTGACACTTGTCCTTATCCGTCCTCGCGGCCGAGGTGTGCATGTGAGGAATTTGATCTCGAGGTAACTCGAGGATAATAGATTTTGTAGCTGCCTGCAGAGTTGACAACCACATTTTTTAATCTCGGTATGAAAGATATTTTGAAAACAGGATTTTACTGACATTGTTAACTTTACCAGTATATAAAGATCTAGTTACAGTTAACTGCAAAAATCTTGATATTTTCTCTAGAGCTATTTTACTTTTTTACTCGAGTTGTTTTCATCCCAAGGTGCAAAATCTTTCAGCTCTCAAATAAGAAGTACTGGCTGATCTAGATAGCGTCCAAAAACAATCCTCGACTTTACAGACCCTGTTTTAATTACTATAGATTTGTAGTTCCCCCCTAACTCAGCTTTCAAAACTCCATAGTGCTGCTTCCAGGCTGGCCTCCCTCATGCCAGCAGACCCCCCCTCCTCTCCTCGAGTCTCCTGACTCCAAATTAGATTTTTTTTTAATTGTGAACATGGCTCTGCCGCCGGTTTCTCTGTTTCCATTTTTTGGAACGGGGGCTTGACCGAGACTTTCGCAGTTGAATATTTTCACAAATATGACCAATCTCGCGCGTCCCGGAAGCGCCCCGAGAAAATGACACATAACGGTCTCGACGAACCCTGTACTTACATACTACTGGCCTTATATATCATCAAAGCCACATACTCAAGGCAAAGACACAAGGTCACTCGTCCTCGTGGACCACACTGCCCGCCACGTTCAGCTGGGGCGGCAGTGCCTTCATGAATTATCACTCGGTTAAAAGGACGCCGATATGTGCTAGGACTTCAGCCGACGGAGGGAAGCATCGGGATATTTTCTAGCTCTGGGCCCTTCGAAGGGCTTTTCTGCACACCTGTGCGCGCGTATACATAGCTGTTCGAAAAGATTATTTGGCTATATATATTGTAACCCTAACCCTGGGTAATACCACCGCCGTTATTATCAACTCATTAACTGTATGTGGCCTTAAGTTTGAAAGGCTATAGCTGTTTTTAACCCATTAGCTGTAACTGTATGTACCCTTAAGTTCATAAGGCTTTGGCAATATCTGGCTATCCCGGGAATTCCCCTCCAACCGCCGCTTTCAATCTAAAGATAAGAAAATAAATGGCGTATTATCTGATAGACGCCTAAAGTTGGGGAAGTTTTCTCGTATAGGAAGAAAAAGCCTTATCTGCATGCGCATATCTGACCAAATTCTTAATATAAGAGAGCCCGAGCGGAATCGATGACCGACCTCCGCGGAAGGTGTGCATGTGGTAAGCTTTCCACGCGACCATCTAAATTTTCAACTATCGGGCCTTTTGCTTTGTGCTTTAGTACCCCGCGTCGTTCCTTCATGCCATAGGCGTAGTAAGAATAACCTTTTACATAATTGCGGAACCGCCTAGCTAGCTTAAATAAAGCCTCGTTGATATATAATTCGACGCATTTTTTTTTTAAATGCGGAGAGAGAAAAGGAGGGGGTTTGAGGTTTAATCGCGCCTATACCTCCTCCTGTTTGAAAGGCTTTTGGCCAATTGTCTGTGTATCAATACTTGTACCAAATATAGTGGGAGAAGTGCTTATCGGCCCTATGATGTCATACATGACCAATTGTACTGTGCTGACTCAGTGACTGCGATCAATTGATCCTGCAGCTGTGGGTACCCCCAGTAGATACTTCGCACCTGCACTTGCACTGTGTATCATGATTGTGTTTTACGCACGTTTAATGTGTGAACTCAGGATCTGGAGAAACTACATATCCATGTAGCAAGTAGAGCAGAAAGTGAATATTCGAATGTGATGCTGTATGAACGTACGATTGGCCCACAATGCGCGCTCTCCTCCAGTCCCCATGAGGTCTAGAGCACACACACGAGCTAGCCCTACTTGTGACTGACAAGCGGATAAACTAAATTAATCCATCCGTCGTGCTGCAGCACTCGGGCCAGAGAGCCTTAACCTCCATTCTTCATGCTGTTCTGGATTGCATCTCATTAACGTCGGGGTCCATCATCACGAACACTCCCACCGCTGCTCATTGACACAGTCTCACCTCGAACTGACACCAACCTGAGTCTCCTAAGCAGCTTGTACCTACTCTTTATCCTTAGCCCTCTAAGTAAGGCAGAAAAAAAAAGTCCCCCAGAGTCAGGAACAGCGAGTTTTCTCACCCCGGCCGAATAACTAGTGCCAACGTCCTGCACTTTGATGGTAAATAGGGATCACACCCACCTACCGATCCAGTACCTGAGTTATGTAGCCCACCACCATATGCAGGGCAACCAGCTAGCAAGTCAAACCCCTAGATATAGATCGCACCTCCAAACCCTCCACCCCCGATCTCCGCGGCCTGCTTCACAATTAATCCACCACAACAAACCCCAATCACCACCCAGCACGTTACCTCCCGCACGTTTCACCTTACGACCCTTTACACCCCGCCAAGATCTCCGGCCGATCATACATGCACATCTTGGTCTGTATGTATATGTACCCTACATGACATTCGGTGCCAGGCCGGTGGGGTAGGTGTGCAGTCGTCCTTTGCTGACATTCTTGTGCTGTTACTATTTATAGGCTCCCCCGGCCCCGGCTCCATCCACCCCCTTGTCCTCGCAGTTAACGGCGGCGGTCTGACACACAGCCTATCACTCGACGGTTATTACTGTGCCGGCCACGCGGTTATATTAACTGTGTGGCGCCAAGTGTGGCGGTGCTGTGTCATGAACATACCACTCCTTCTGTGGTCTGGTGATGGAGGAAGGGGGGGAGGCGGTTAAGAAGGCATGAATTAACAGTCATATCCCACTGTCTGGAAATAGTAGAGGGTAGGATCCTTAATTGGTGTTTGTTGCTGGTGGTGTGTGGTGGTAGGCTGGCAGTGGCTGAGCCTCGTCTCAGCCAGTTGAATAGTAGTGCGGACCTGGGAACGGATGAAATCAAGATATTTTTGGCCCTGGACCTATGACGGCATGATCGGGCTGCAGCTGGCAATTGAACATTTTTTTTTTTTGCTTGCTTCGAACACTTCTTCTCCTTTCCCCTGGCTTGAACGCGAACGCTCTGGAGGCTACGGTTTCCTTCCGCGGGCGTCCCAGTGCGGTGTGTGATTGCCACTGTGGTTCCTCGGGACTGGCTGGGGCTCTGGACATATATCTGGCCGCTCTCCTCGCCCCCCTGTACTGCACCGGCTCAACACTAGTATTCCTACGATAAAGATAAACGCTTCAACGTTCACGATACCTACAACCACCACCTCAACACCTACAATCACCACAACGAACAAACACATAAAGAAAATTATGCACTCCCTCCCCATCCCGCTTCCAATCCTGCCCTACACCAGCACCCCAGACTTCATCACGCAGCTCCAGACCTGGGACCACCACCTCAAGTCCCGCCCGCCGCCAACAGAAGCTCAGGTCGCCCGCGCGATACGGCAGAGTCTGTATGCGAGCCGCCACCTGAGTTATAAGGTCCTGGGCTACGAGAACGCGGGGATCGAGGGGTCGAGGTTCGTCGAGGTCTTTTATGGGCCTGGGTGGCCTTGAGCTTGAAATTCCTAGGAGCAATGGGCATGTGGGCGTCTTTTTGTGGAAGGAGGTGATTAGCTGGTATGTACTATGTTGCTGTGTGTATGGACGGGGGGGAGAAGATGTTAATGGGGGGTGTGATAGGGCTTGGAAATACCTCCGGTAGCTGCGCTGGTTAGAGATCGGGCAACAGGCACCGGCATGGGCCTTATGGCCAAGACTCTCTGCTGCACTGGGCTGGATTACTGGACCGAATTGTTGACATTGCCATTGTATATTGGGAAATAGACTCGTACGGCTTACCGGCGTCTGGGGTCCGTGGCACAGCAGGGGAGATCCCGGGCGCCGGTGGCAACGGGGAATGGATGATCTGCGGCAGCGTGGTGGATGGTCATATCTGGGCTACATATACCGGCCGGGGTTCATGCGTGGGGATTATGGGCCTCTGCGGAATGCTTTGTGAGCTTGATGCTGCTGCTGGGGGAGTTGGATTGCGTGTTTCGTCTTCTGCGCGATGATTTGATTGAGCCTGTTGTTTTGGGCTTGACACTCTTTTGGTTTTTGTTTCTTTTGTTGTTTCTTTTGTCTTGGTTCTTTTGTCTTTTGGGTCGGCTTATTTGCATCTTATGAGGGGTAATGGTAATGTGGCTATGTTATAATTATGTGTTGCATGTATAAAATTTTCATATGTCTGCTCTAATTACGGGGTGTCCTGGTGTTTGTTTTTGGTATACGTAGCTTAATAGACTCTTACGCAATATTTCAGTAATGTCTCTGGGCACGATAGTACACTGTATTGGAGACATCGTTAGATGATTTTTACTATGGGTGGGGGCGGGTGGATCGAGATGGGATATCCTCTGGTGGTGATAATTAATGGTAGATTTATCTTTTGATATTTTTGGTTATCCGGGGTGTTTCGTAGTCTAAATTCCATAGCGGTTTCATGTTTGCTATTGAATTCCATTGTTTCATTTTGGTCATGTTGTGATTACCAATTTCAACCCCCAATCGCGGCTCACCACCGGCCACAATCTACATATGGGGGGTGCCATATTCTCAGCCACTATAACCTACCAAGTATGTACCTTCAATAACCCATAAACCTACAAATCTACAAACCCATACTCGTCACCTACCCACCGGCATAACTCATCCCAGCGTCCCCCCCCCTTAATACCACTTTATATTTACCAACGTCGCTGACAAAGCACCACCACCACCGTGCTGCCTTATCATGTTCATGTTATCCGATGCTATTATCCCGCGCACAACCGTTTTTGTTTTGCACTTTGATACGCGCGTCGTTGTCGTCTCTAGTTGCCGTAGTGGAAGATATATAGCTGCTGAGATTGCCGACGGAGATACAACCGCGAATATGCATCTGTTGCTCGTGCACGTATGTATTGTATATATATATGTGTGTGTCGACGTCGGGCGGGGTTGTCTTGGCCATGGTGTAAGCCGCGCTGCTGCTGGAGCGGGGTACTTACTGTCTCTCCATCTTTTCCATCCTGTTGACTGGCTGGAATCAAACCCTCGAATTCCTCCCCACGACGTAGACTGCCGGATAAGGCGAAATTCTTCCTTGTAGGTATTTACACAGATCCAGGTTTCCTTTCCTCCGCGCAAGGCAGGGCAGTGCTGATGAAAAAAAAGTCAAAATTTTTCCTTGTGAGGTGGAGGTGGAGGTGGGGGTGGAAGTGGAGGTGGAGGTGGTAGAGGGGGGGATACGCGTCTTATGTCTGTCTGTCGTGTCTGATCGGATAAATGTAGCTGGGCGAGTGAGAGGTTGTGAAGAGCTGGGTTGTTACTATTGTTAGTAGCGGCCGTGGATGCGGTTGCTTGGTTGGTGGGTGTTATCTTATCGATCAGATCAATTGCGTAAGTCGCTAAGACAGTAGCAGACGGGGCAGTGAGTAACGGAAGGAAGGAGGGTGTTTGTCGAAGGCTTTCTTCTTCTGACTCCGAGCAGTGAGCATGGGCACAGAAGTCAATATTAAACCTCCCCGTGGACCGCCTGATCCCAGCCCTCGTATCGTATCCGCTTATATCCCGTTAATTACGAGTAGAGCCTGCCTTATTTCGCGAGCAAACACTACATACTACATACCCCGTCGTAAGAGAGATTTGATCCGCAATCTCGTGCGTGACGACGACTCGAGGCTGTGTTCGCAGAAAACACACACAGACACAGAGAGAGACAAGAGAGCCGCGTTACCGGTTTTTCCTCTCGTGGGAGCGTAACTGCTGCTGGCTGGCTGGCTGGCTGGTTGGCTGGCATACGTAATGGTGTGAGTTATGCGCAGACACCAACTACCCTGCTCACGCACACACCCGAACCAGGTATTGTGTGTAGTGTAGTGTAGTGACAGGGTTGCTGCACTCCACTCCGTCACGAATCTTGGAACTTCGATAGCAGAGACAGATGCTTTGAGCAGCTGGAGATGGCGGTCCTCGAGTAATTGCTTCCCTGATTTGATGGCTGCATCGCCTTCGATGGGTTCGCCTAATACCAAGACGCACGGTGTAGCTGTAGGTGGCCCTGGAGAGAGCCACCGACCGGTTCATCAGACACTTCACCGCCGGTGTGGTGGTGGGAAAGAAAGGAAGACAGAGAGAGAGGATGGGTATATAGGTGATCGTGTGCGCCCCCGCTGTCTGCTCGTAAGTCTTGCATTTGCTTGATACTTGTTCGCTCGTTCGTTAAATCCTATTGTCCAATTTCACTACTGCTACTGCTGCTCCAACATATCAGTTTGTTTGCTCGTTCGTTATTATTCCTCATTAAGGCCTTGTCGTATCAGTTGTCGATCGCAGAGTGGGTATTATACTAGCTGGTAGGTAGAAGATACTCCACAGCAGTAACAACAGCAGCTATGCGTTTCTCCGCCGTCATCCCGATCGTCCTGTCGACGGTCGCGCTGGCCCTCACATGTCTCGCGCTGTTCTCTGGCCGCGAGAAAGACTTCCTCACAGACGTCTACATCATTAGAGTAAGTCACATCCTCAATACATATCAGCAAACAATACTAACCCCCCCCACAGCTCAACACCACCAACATCGGCGCCAACGCCACCATCCCCACCACCGGCATCGCCAGCGTCGACACGCTCACCTCCCAACTCACCTCCTCCCTCATCTCCTCCACCGCCGCCGCCCTCGGCCTCTCAAACGCCTACACCTTCCACCCCACCGGCTACTGCGAGGCCGCCAACTCCACGGCCATCACCCGCTGCACCTCGCGCCCCATGTTCACGTTCGACCCCGTGGGCATCCTGTCGAAGGAGCTCAACGCCACGGGATTGGGCATCACGTTAGATGACATTGGCTTTCCCACGGACGACGTAAATACCGCGGTAGAGGCGCTCAATATCGCGTATAAGGTCATGTTTGTCACGTACTGTATTGGCGCTGGTGCCGCCGCGATCTGTATCATGGCGGGCCTGATCGGCTGTGGCGGCGGCGGGAGGGGCGTGGCGTGCTGTAATTGGATTTTTGCGACCGTGAGTTCCCCCCCCCCCCCCCCCCCTCCAGTAGTAGTATTATTATAGATGGACATTCTGACTAACATGTTTTGCAGATTGGCTTCCTCGCACTCGGCATTGCCTCCGGCGTCGGCACCGCGCTGGCCGTGAAGCTGACGGAGATTGCGAACCGCGAGCTGCGCAACGTTGGCGTGACGGCCGAGTATAGTGTTGAGTATCTGGGCATCACGTGGGGCGCTGTTGGCGCGATATTGGTGGTGGGCTTGTATTGGTGCGGGGCGTGTATCTCGGGCAGGAGCGAGGGGAGGAGGAGTAAGGAGTATGCGGATGAGGGGGCGATGGGCACGGGGGAGGGGAGGAGGAGGGGGTATTGGTAGGGGGTGTGTGGTAGTTGAGAATTAAGCGTGGATCTGGTGTGGTGGCGGTGGGGGATGGGTGAGAGATGGGGAGGGTTGGGTTGTAGGATGGGATGGGAGCGAGAGGGTAATGATTGAAATGATGGCTTTTCGGACGTGGGCTTGTGGGTGCGGGTCGGATGGAGTTTGGCGTGGCTTTTTTTCATTAAATTTGTAGTTTTTTTTTTCACTTTCTTACACTCTCTCTCGATCTCTATCACTGTCTCTTGGCTTGGTTTCTCTTTCCTTTTTTTGTTTTAAAGATTTCTCTCTTTTTTTTTTTTGTCGGGTCCGCTCCATGTACCATCATCTCATCTGGATCACAGTCATGATACTAGTTTTATTGGGGACAAAAATTTATATACTATCTATGTGTGTTTTTTGAAATGCGTTGGTATCTGGCTGCTATGCTATGCTAACTAATCTGTTTCTTCGTTTTGGGTTTGGGGTGCGGTGGGGGTGGTGGGATCTCTGGTGTTGGTGGTGGGCGTGGAAAATTATAGGGTGCCGGTACCGGGCCGGTGTGTTGGGAGCGAGTGATGGCGTGTGATCCGGTGTGCGGGTGGGCGTGGGGGCGGGGTTTGTGTGATTGTCATATACCGAGACTTATGTAATGAGGCATGGAGAATGTGGTTTTGGTGTTAGCTGGGGATTGAGGTGGGTTATATATGTTTGTAATAAGCCAAATGTTAGTTACGTAGGGGCGGCACGTTGGAACTTGAACTTGCAATACGTATTCAGCGTCCGGTTCATGTAATTTTGAAACATGATTTTTCTATTTTATGCAAGTTTTCATTGACGGAGGTCTAACATTCCCTCTTGCAATTGCGAGACCGGGTAGTGGGGAATATCGCGTTTGGATGTGGTGCGGCCGCGAGTATGGGAACGATAGATGATTACTTCCTGGCACTTTTATTACGTGGTAGTATACGTGGTTTTTAGATGTATACGTATGAGTAGAGGAGGACTCTCAAAGTTAAAGCCAACAAGCTTAAGGTCGAAATATACAAGATTGTAGTGGGAAATGATGGAATAGACATGTTTCGTAACCGGTATTTATGATTTTTTTTTCCCCCGAAATCCCTTCTGGTTGGCATGCGCAGAAAGTGGATTGTACGTAGTTTCGTCACCGTAGAGAAATTATTTACTCCCATTAACCCCCTCGGGACCTGTTTTCTTTTTATTCTTATACTCAAGACTTTCCGGACCCCTGTTTGTTGGTTATCTGGTGGATGATCGAGGGGCGGACAGGCAGGTCTGGGAGTTATGGGTTATATGGGGTGATCTGTTCTTTCCTTGACCTAGTCCGAATAGGCGGTGGCCTTTTTGATTTCCGTTCTCCACAAACGGTGCCAGTGGAAGAGAGAACGGTCTGTTTTGTTTTTGGGCTGTTTTCTAAGGGCTTGGGTTTTCGGCTTTGAGTATATATTGCGGTTGGTTCGGGCGGGTTCTGGAGTACTAGTGTTTCGGGGTGGAATAGAGGCTTTGCTCTTGTGTTTTTATCGGGGGTTCGTTTTGTTTCTGGGTGGAAATGTCATCCCCGGAGGGGGTATATGTAGAGTAGTCCAAATCCGAAAAACTTTGTGTCAGTACGGCCGGGGAAATGTGTCGGGTTTCGACAGAGATAGTTGGCTAGCTAGGCTGCTGGGTCTGGTTAAGATCTACCGCTCGTCTTAACGTATCTGGCCTTTCAACCTTTTTGAACACCTTCACAGACCAGGTGAGCATATATAGACAATATCCAAACCACCCATCAATCCAGAACCGCATCTCTCCAAGCCTCTCTTCCTCCACCTCGGCTGTTCAGGCCAGAAACCTTTGCAATTGTACGCCGCCGGAAGAGACAGCGACCGTCTTCCACGTCGGAACCTACGCGGATGATCTTTCTGCTTGTAGTTTTCCGTGCTTGCCGTGGTATATAAGAAGGCCTGGATTCCTCAACTCAACCCGGGGCGTTGTTAGACCAGGTTGTTCTGGTTATGTTGGTGGGAGGGAGGGTTGCCGGATGCTTAGTTATATGGCGCCGTGTGTGTGTGTCCTTGCGGGGTGGTGTCGTGAGAAGAGGTAGAAGTGATCAAACATGGGAGTTCTTTCTTACCGGCCATCCGATGCGGCCGTGTCTTTAATTGGCTCTTCATTTCGATGGCGATAGTGGACCCACCTAATTTCTCTTTACTGTTGTCGCCAAAGCAATTCAACGGAGTCCGCTATTATATAGCATCAGGCCTGCTAGAGCTAGCTAGCCACTCTAACCCACATCGCCGCGGGCTTCATAACGCGACCGGTACTTCCCACAATGCTATTCACCGCTCCCGAAAGAAGCCGTATTATACGGCCACTCCGTCTCATACCTTCCGCTCCCAGCTGGCGCACCGGGTTTCTGGGGCTGTTGATTCGGTGCCGAGTGCAAATGGACACCGGCTAAGGGATGGGTGTTGTCGCGCGCGAAGTTGTAGTTTGGCGGGTTGTGGCGGGGAGCGTGCGGTGATGCGGAGCGGAGGGTGCGGGTGTAGTGTCGCAACCGCTGGGATGGTGTTGGCTGGGTCTGCTGGTTATATGTGGGGGGGATATGTTCTCCCAGAGAGGGAAGTGTGGGTGCGGTAGAAACACTGCAGTGGGGGGGTTGTAGGGGAGCGTGTTTGATGAGCGGCGACAGATGCGTCGGTGTTTCGTGGTGGGACGTTTGGAGTGACAGAGACCTCCTGGTTGGGACATCACTTTTGGAAACAGTAATAAAATAATGGTAATAATAGATAATAGTACATAAATAGTAGAAAATAGTACTGCAGCTCACAGAGAACTCTACCGCATCTGGCACACACATACATTCCAGCTAGCCCGCATTCGACCCAAATAGTAGAATAGTAGATCCCACTCTTCCCCCCCCCTCCACACACACACACACACACACACACACACACACACACACACACACACACACACACACACACACAACAGAAATAGCCATCCATGCCATTACAAATCCCTCTACAAGTCCCCCTCCACAACCGTTTCTCATTCCCCAGGATCACCGATCATCGGATCTCCGGGCGGAACACACGAGCAAAAGGGCAGTGAGGTGAAGGTGGAAGGGTTCGAACATGGATGCCTCTCCCACCACCCGAAACGTGATTGGCACTTCCCTATTTCCGTGATTGAAATTTCGGGCCTCCGTCCGCCCTGCACACAGAGAAGAACTGGGACTAAAATAAGGGCCCACGCGGCACTTTTACACACATAGCTTGCGGGTTAATTCTGGCTTACGGTGCGGTGCGGTGCAGTGCAGCGGGGGAGAAAAAGGTGTGGAAATCAGAAATCTCCAAGAGGTGCTTCGTAAGTCCCAAGAAAGAGCAGAGTAGAAAGGGAAGGGCCTTGCAGAGAGCCTAGCTAGCTGCAAGGGTGTGTGGGTGTGGTGGGTGTGCTGCTGCACCAAGCGAGCACTAACCCTAACCCACCCTGCGGTCGGAGAATTATTTCGGGGCCCGGGGGGGGGGGGGGAATGCAGACAAGACAGACAGACATGCGTAGCTGTGGCGGCGACGGCGGCACAGACAAGAGAGCCAGGGAAAAACGGGTTTTCCTTCGAGAAGCGGTGGAGGGAGAGATAGGGTGGTTAAATTAGAGGAAGAGAGGAGTTGAGGGGGGTGGGGGGGGGGGGGGGGAGACTCGGGAGAGGGGAGAGGGTGGAGGATAAATTTGGCAATTAGAGTAGACTTACATGCAGTGGGTGTCGGCGCTTCGTTTGGATGGTTTGGGTGGTTTCAGTGGGTTGGGCGCACCGTTGAACGGTGCTGCTGCACGATGCACGTAGGGCAGCTGGGTGCATAGACGCGCGAGTTCTACTCTGCTCTCCTGTGGGTTTCTACTGGGCCAATGCTCATCTCAAGAACGCTCAAGCAGCAGAAGACACAGAAATGTGAGTTGACTCTCTCTCTCTGATCTAGTACATGATGCACCATGGTAAATAAAGAACCGGTGATCGCATACGCGGCTTACTGGGCTTTTCTCGTGTGGGGAAGGGAAGGGAAGGAAGGGAAGGGAACGAGGGAACAAAGGATGGAAGGGACTCAACTGCAGTAACTGCAGTAGCAGCACTGCCCCAATGTCAAGAGACGCAAACGCAAACAGGTAGGGGGGTGAGGCTCGTTTCTGGGCCTACGTGTGTTTCACGTTGGGCTGGAATAGGGAACAGGGAGTTAGCCCCTGGATCTTGGACCCTTCCCCAGCTCTCTCTCTCTCTCTCTCGAGGGGGGAGAAGTCACTGTTCCGTCTCTGTTGCTACTGCTGCTACTGACTGATAATACCACCTCTTGCTCGAAAGAAAGAAAAAGAACAGGAATACATACACTCTCTTTAAGTTTCCTGTGTTCCTTTCGACGTTAAGGCTGTAAGTACACATACTCCCAAACCTGTCACATTGACCTCGTAACTTCTCACCTGCAGCAGGTTGTTTCTCGTCAAAGTCTGCAGGCCTTACACCACCCCTCCCCCCTCCCCCTACTACTTCGTCCCATCATCATCATCATCATCATCATCTTGGAGAAGGAGGACCACTCTCTACCCTCTTCCCCCCTCCACTACCCCCCCCCCCCCCCCCCCCCTCTCCATCCCTTTCATCATTATCTCATCATTCCCCCACGATCCTATCAAATCAGATCTGGTCGGCTTTACTCTCGTTACATAGCACCTGACCTCCTCTGACATTGATTTGCTTTTTTGCTCTATTCTAGTTTACCTGCTCTCTCTCACTCAGCCTGGTGCATCACCTTCGTTAAGTTCCAACAGCAACCTGCAGGGTGCCTATCCAAGTTCTTCTCTGGTCGAAGATCGCATCAGCCCGTCTGCGCCCACTCGCTCTCAGTCTCTCAGTCACTCTCTCACTCGATCGTTTCTTTTCTTTCCTTCTTACTTTCTTTCTTTCCTTCCTTTCGTCCCTACTCAGCAGCAGCAGCAGCTCATCAAGAACGCCTCTGCCTGTCTCTCCCGTCACCAGATTCAATATAACGAAGCCACACCCGCCCCCCACCCACACTCGCTAGAATTCGCGACACGAATTCACAACCATGAAGTTCTCTTCGCTCGCACGAGCACTCGCTTCTACAGCACTGCTAACGGCCTCCCTGTTCTCGAGCTCGGCCGTGGCCATCGATGTCGACCCGACCAACCAAGGTGTGTGTGTTGCTGTTGCTGTTGTGTTGAGCGGCGGCTACAAGCCCCTATTTGTACCCGCCGAGAGTGGAGTAGAGTGACGCTGACATGAACGGCCCCCACGCAGACTCTCTGTTCACCGCTACACAAGAGGTCGCCCTGAAGCTCCGCGCTCTGTACCCCGACAACGAGACCTGGTTCGTGGCCGGTGAGTTTGGGCTCATCCAGACGGCCGATGGAAAGAACAATCAGGGCTACTACTGGTGGGAGGCTGGTGCCACAATGGGGGTATGAGAGCTCCCTGCTGCTGCTGCTGCTGCTGTTTGCGCCGTGTCGCTAATTGGTTTTTTTTTCTCTCCAGGCTTGGATCGAGTATTGGCACTACACGGGCGACGACCAGTTCAACGATATCGTGACGAAGGCACTGCTCAACCAGGTCGGTGAGGACGACAACTACGAGCCCTCCGCGCAGACGCTCTCCCTCGGTAACGACGACCAGGCCTTCTGGGCGCTTTCAGTGCTGTCGGCGGCCGAGCGCGTGTTCCCCAACCCGCCATCGGATAAGCCGCAATGGCTCACGCTGGCCATGGCCGTGTTCAACAGGCAGGCGTCACGCTGGGACGAGCTCAACTGCGGCGGTGGGCTGAGGTGGCAGGTGGTGTCTACGAACGCTGGGTACGACTACAAGAATGCCATCTCCAACGGGCTGTTCTTCCAGATGGGCGCAAGGCTGGCGAGGTATACAGGGAATGCGACGTACGCGGAGTGGGCGGAGAAGGTGTATGATTGGTCAAAGACGACGGGCATCATCTCGAGCGATTACAAAGTCTATGATGGGTCGCATATCCCGACGGACACGAATGGCGATGGAAAGGAGCCTGACTGCCCGGTCACTGAGGTCTATCAGTGGTCGTACAATGCCGGTGTCTACCTCGCTGGTGCCGCCTTCATGTACAACTATGTAATTTCCCCTCTTACCCCCCAGTTCCCCATATTTTGCTTTTGATAGCTAACATCAAGCCAGACCGAGGGTAGCGCAAAATGGCAAAACGAAACCAACAACCTCATGCAGGCCATCCAATCGCCCTTCTTCACCTCCGACTACATCATGCGCGAGTCCGCCTGCGACCCCGCCCCCAGCGACAAGGCCGCCACATGCAACACCGACCAGCGTTCCTTCAAGGCCTACCTCTCCCGCTTCATGGCCTACACCTACCAGATGGCGCCCTTCACCCAGTCCTGGATCCTGCCGCGCCTGCAAGCCAGCGCCGTCGCCGCCGCCGCAACCTGCAACGGCGGCACAGACGGGAAGGTGTGCGGTCTCGCGTGGGTCAAGAAGACATACGACGACTCACCGTACGGTATCGCCGTCGGCGGCCTCGGTGAGCATCTCTCGGTCATGGAGGTCCTGCAGGCAAACTTCATCACTACGGCGGTCCCACCGGTGACGAACAGCACTGGTGGAACGAGTGTGGGTGACCCGACAGCGGGGACGGGAACGTCGTCGCTGGAGAGTAAGCTGCAGACGGACCCGTCGACGACGGGGGATAAGGCGGGCGCGGGCATATTGACGGCGATTGTGCTGGGACTGTTGTTGAGCTTGACGTATTGGCTGCTGAGGGGCTAAACGGTGGATGTACTTATAGTGGTGTTTTTTTTTTATACGTTTTTTCTTTCTTGCGCTTTTTTATTATATATTAGTGGGTCCGGAATTGGGATTTTTTTATTTCTTTTTGGGAGGCTGTGGATCCTGCGATGTGGGGTGGTGGGAGGTGTTTTTTTTTTTTCACAGCCTTTTTTTTTTGTGTGCTTTATTATGTTCTTTCAGGACGGGTTGATTCCTTTGTTGCTAATACCCCCCAGGGGACTACTACCTGACCCACCTACCTTACTCTATTTTTGAAAAAAAAAAACCCTCCCCGCCGTATGGGACATATACCATATCCAACTTTTGGTATACGTCTTCACTCTTCTGTATCTTATCTCATCGTATCTACAAAATCCTTCTTTTTGTTGTCCATTTTTTTTTTTTGTGTGTGTGTGTGTTTGTGTTTGTGGTTGATGCTGTTCTTGTTAATGTTTACTCTTTTTTTTTTTTTTATTTTTTACTTCACTTATATTCGTTTCGGTACTACTGCTTAGGTGGTTTACTGTGAGCCTTTTTTTTGTGTGTGTTTTGTTGTAGATAGAACAATTGGAATATAGCGCTAGATCTAATTACGTACAATGTAGTAGTGAGGAAGGTTTGGCAGTGAGAATGAGTGCGATTGAGTGAGAGCGAGTGAGGGGGAATGTGCGAGTGAGTGCAAGTGACTGAGCGAGCGAAAGAGTGGGAGTGGTGCCAAGAGAGAGGTATACGTAACCTATGACCCATGCCAAGAAGGGGCGAGTGATGGACTGTGCGGTGGTGGGATTTTCGGGGAGGTGTCTTGGGGCGTGTGTGGAGTGAAAGCGGACGATCGGGGTGGAAAAGGTGGAGGGGATGTCGGGGTGGGGATATGGGTAGAGGGAGGAGCTAGAGGTGAGAATATAAAGCCGGTGATGAGGTATGAATACCAGCCCTCGAGCTCGGGGACTAGAAAGCTTTCACGATGTTGATCTGCGAGACATATGTCTCGCTGCCTACATACTTTTCTGTAGAAACCACCGAACCACGGCTCCGCCCGAGACTATCATAGCCAAGGGTTGCGGTTCTCTGTGGATCGCCGAGGTAGGTATGCGATAGGGAGGAGTAAGTACTGCAGTTTGTATCTATGGTGCCATAGGAGTTTTGGCTGAAGGGCAGAGAGTGCTTCGGGTTGTATCTTCCACCCCCACATGGCCAACACGCGTCGCCACCGCCGGCTTATCGCCGCTGTCGAGGGGGGGAAACTTGTTCAACTCCTCCAAGTGGAACCGTGTGGACGGCGTTCAGTGTATATGCTAGATTTTGTAGTTATGTTGTTTAGCAGTTTATCTTCCAGTGGTCGGAAAGGCGTCGACTCGCTGAGGAGCTACCATGCCAAACCTTCGCTTTCTGCAGCAATAGTTGGTTACTAATCAGTTGCTACTATTTCGGCCGCATTGGGAAGTGCTTAGTAGCGGGTCATGGGCTATCACCCGCTAGCTGTCACGCACGCGACATTTCTGCCCCGCCAGCGAAAAATGCATTCTCTGGGGAGATGTAAACTCGGCTCGAGGTGGTTGTGTAATCGATAGGAGCTACTGCGAGGGAGCCAGGAATAAGCTTTGTATTCCGTGAAGGTCCTGTCTGTATTGTTGTAGCCACGAGCAAACCTTACACGTACCGCAGCGCTCATTATCGACTAAACGAAGATGCTGCCGTGCTCTAGATGCTGGCTGACCGTTATAGGCTGGGGTGTAGGTTGGAAGGTCGTGGGTGCATGTAGTGGGTGGTGCCGAAGGCCTGGCCGGCTAGCTTACGTAGCTGGATGACCCCGCTCCCGCGCTCACTCAGCACCTCCGCGTCCGCTGTCCTCATCCTGGTGATTAGGCCGAGGGTGGTGTGCTTTCGTACAGAGATTGAGTGTTCTCTGGTATTATCTATGTGAGGGCGTGGGGTTGGGAGCTTGCAGAGCGAGAGGTTCTATCGAATTGCAATTGAGACCTGGCCGTAGACATAGATGGAGGTGGTAGGCCGGAGGCCAAATAATTCAGGTATAACCCTAACCTTAGCGTAATCTACAACAATGCGGCATTCGGAAACGGATTTGTACATGAGGTTTCTTGAAAAACAGAATGGAGTTGCGATTAGCATATGGTACTCTTTGCTATGTGTTATTCTGTCTAGTCAGTATTAGATAACTTGCCCTACCCTTTACTTGAGACCTTTCTTGCGTTGGGAGGATACTTGGTTTTATGTGTAGCGTTTACCTATTCTGCTTAAACCTCTACTAATTTCCGTTGCCGTGAACATCCGAATAGCCGGTAAGATGGCTCGCTGTTTCTCAGCCCGTAAACACCGTATCAAAATGCAGCCCTAGCAAGAGCAGAGGGCCCAACGTCTTTCCAAACTAGAAACCGCCATATAATGCCCCATTATTGCAGCGCGTCTTTCGGTGTTGCGGTGCCGTTTATCTCCAGGGTATAAAACCACTCTTACAGCTGCTTTCAAGATCGGCAGCCCCACGATACGTCGATCCCCAACGCCTTGGCAATGTCCCCGATGTCCGCGGCCAATGATGTATTTGGGTTTGCACCCTTCGTGGAGAGCTTCGTATTGCTTATTGGACGCGGAATGTTACTCTTGCCTGGTCAGAGTAAAGAGAGGCCGAAATGGCAGGCGGGGAGGGCTGCATCAGTGGGTTCGTCGTCTTCTTAAGGTAGCGAGGTATAATAAGTTATGAGTGGTATAGGGTGAAATATAAAGTATGCTCCTGGTAGCAGTATCTAGATATCCGGATAGCAGTGAGAAAGGATACTCATCTCTGTCCTGACATCCACTGCAGCAGCTACTCCATACGCACCTCACAATGGTCACCGTCCCGCCCTACCTGCAGATCTCGCAGCAAAAGCTGAAAGAGCGCGCTGCCCAAATCCCAACTGAATATTTGCTTACCCCCGAACAGCTCTCACAGTTGAACTCCCAACACAACATCACGCACCTCCCTAGATCTGAGGAGTTCTTCACCCCCGCCGAGATCACAATAATCAACTCCTCCGCGCCAACCATCGTCGCAAAGACCAGCGCCGGCGAGTGGAGTGTGCAGGAAGTGATAGAGGCGTTTCTTAAAGCTGCGATGATTGCGCACCAGGCGGTATACCGCCCTTCTTTACCAGTAAGCTGGGGGCGTGTTTCTGTAGTAGAGCTGACAGTAGCGGCGACAGACAAACTGCCTCACAGAGATCCCCATCCCTGAAGCTCGCGCGCTCGCAAAAAGCCTTGACACCACCCCAACTGCTCCACGAGGCCCCCTCTATGGTCTCCCCATCTCGCTCAAAGACTGCTTCAACATCTACCCCTCCGTCTACTCCACCTCTCTGGGCCTCACCGCATGGGCCACCGCACAGACCCCCGCACCCCCCGAGTCCATACTCGTCACGCTCCTCCGCGACCTCGGCGCAATCCCAGGCCACGTCAAGACCAACGTGCCTACCGGGATGATGATGATCGAGGGCGAGAACCGCCTCTGGGGGCAGACTCTTAACCCATTCAGCAAGGTTCTCTCCCCCGGGGGATCGTCAACTGGCGAGGGTGTGCTCGGTGCGCTGCGCGGCGCCCTGGTCGGCGTCGGAACAGACATTGGCGGGAGCATCAGGGTCCCGGCGAGCTGGGGGGGACTGTATTCGCTGAAGCCGTCGTCTGGGAGGTTCCCGATTATGGGGACGAGGAGCATTATAAGTGGGCTGCGCGCGATCAATATGGTGAATGGGCCGATGGCAGCAGAGCTGGAGAGCGTGAGGATGTATTGTAAGGCTGTGGTGGGCGCGGAGCCGTGGAGGTATGATCCGGGGTGTGTGCCGATTCAGTGGCGGGAGGGGCAGATGCCGGTGGGGAGGAAGTTGAGGGTTGGGGTGCTGAGGAATGATGGGGTTGTGAGGTGCCAGCCGCCGGTGGAGAGAGCGGTGGATACTGTTAGGAAGGCGCTGGAAGACTCGGGGGAGGTGGAGGTTGTGGACTGGTGAGTGTAGTATTTCAATTTGATATTAGTATCGTCGAGTATTGGAAAACTCACACCTCTATAGGGAACCATTCAAACACGCCGAAATCAGCACCCTTGTGGGAAGAATCTTGACCGCTGACGGCGGCCGCTATATCGCCGGCCTAATCAACGCAACCCAGGAGCCCTGGTACGACTCGATGCTCCCCTACAAGGCTGTGTCTAGCTCCCCCGACACCGACATCCCTACCAGCGCCATGTGGGGGCTGCAGAACCTCCAGAGCACCCTACAAAAGGAGCACCTCGACCACTGGCGCGCCAGTGGCGTGGACGCCGTGATTGCACCTGTGGCGCCGTGGGCGGCTGTCCGCAGAAGGGCGAGCGCAAGGATGCCGTATATGGGGTACACGTCTGTATGGAACTTCCATGACTATGTGGCGGCGACGCTGCCAGTCACGATGGCGGATAGGAGCGTGGATCTCAGGGATGAGGGATATGTGCCGGTTAATGAGATAGATAGGGCCGTGTGGGAGGACTATGAGCCTGATGTGTATCATGAGGGGCCGGCGGGGGTGCAGGTTCTATGTGGGAGGTTGGAGGAGGAGAAGTGTTTGGAGGTGGTGGGGTTTGTGGATGCGTTGTTGAGAGGTAAGGCAGCGAGTGATGGGATGTGAATCAGAATTGTTTGTTTGTGTCCTCGGCGGGTACGTGGAGTATCTATCTAGTTAATGAAAAGAGAGCGTATGTGTTGGGATTTTGTTAAAACTATATCTCCACTTCTGTACACGCCTTAATTGAAATGAAAATCAAAGTACGAACTGAAATACTCAGCGTTGGTGATGGTCCGGGGTTACGGCGCGGCGTGATAACTATTCGGAGATTATAGGCCCTATAGAAAAAGGTTTAGAATGGTGGTTGATAATCGTCGCTAAGTGAGAAAATCTTAAAGGAAATGCAGCTGTCTAACAGAGGGTCAGCCTTCAAGCACAAGTGCTTCTGTTTCTTTTTACCCTGATTTATATCCATCCATCAACCCAGGTTTCGTGATATGCGCCTTGTGGTGATATATATGGCGTGCCTCCATGCTTCTGTTGGCCACGAAAGTGTAGCCTACACCATGGCTAGAAATTGTCGAGCAGCTGCTTCAGTTTGTTTTTTTGGGGGGGGGTGTTTTCTTGAATAAATCTTGGGTTCAGGGCGTCTCCGAGATTCGATATTGTGGGTAGTAGTTGAAGAGAGTGTGTGTGTAGGGGGAAGATGGTGGGAGGGAGAGTGAAGAAAGAAGAGGAAGGGGAGAGAGGAGCAAAGAGAGGAGGTTGATAGACGATGATATTCGTATATTCATATACTTAAGTGATCAGGCTGCTTCGTATGCAAGTCTGGGTATACATGTAGAACACTAGTAACACATCACCCCTCTATAAACGGATTAAGAAAAATACATACCATCTACCGCCGTAGCCCAGTCGCTATGGTGTCGCCCAGAGGGGCCGAGGTCGGCGGTTAGAATCGCCCACCTCCCAGGCTTGGTGGAAACACTGTGTGACTGGGTAGAAAGGAGCAGAGCGGGATGCCTCTCCTTTTTGTTGCTCTTGACCTTTGAACGGGATTATCTTTTTCTTCAGGTTTGCTAGTTTCTGTTCGGGGGTAAAAGGATATTGGGGCTGTGGTCTGTGTGGCGGGATCGGAGTATCATGTGGGGATATATTGTAGGGGTGGGGGGTTGTGTGTTGGTGGGTATAAGTACTAGCAGTGGCCAAACTCGCGGCCGCAGGTTGTTGATTTTCCAATGCGTACGTACTGTGAGGATATATACCTGTTGATATTCCTTTCAATTCTCTCCCCGATCTATCTCTCCCGTGAGATCCGAAGACCGCCCCCGCCGGTGAAGTTAATGATTACCCCATACTAGTATCCCGTTGACGATGCTACCCAGTGAATAGAACGATTTAATGACACCTCCCTGTACCCGCGTGGATAAATAGCTTTTGATACGTCCCCGTTGATCAATTGATGATAGTTTTAGATCTCTCTATATACCCCCAGTTTCACGAACTTGACAAAGTACCGTTTAACATTTGGTTTGCATTATATCAGGTATGCCCTTGGGGGATGGCCGTGGGTGGACTGGTTGCAATCATGCAGGGTGTGTGACAAAACCTTCAAATCCTTAAAACCTTATTTGAACCTCGGGCACACACTCACCCGCATATATATAGACATCAGTGTCAAGGCTGGATTGAATTCAAAGCTTCTCCCTTCATATTCTCTTCCATCTTCACCACCTTCGTCAAGTTTCAACACTCGCTCATCTACCGTCACTAGTTGGTCCTGTTAGGAAAAGTCACTGGTCACCCGTCAGCGGTGCTAGTAGAGGGTAGCGGGTAGTTAGTGGATAGCGTGTAGTTAGCAGCATACCATGTACTTAGCTGTTCCGTGTCACGACACTCCTAATCTAATCACTTCATCAAAAGGTCCATGCTTCATCAACACTCACTCGCTTGTCGTCTTTGTCACCATAGAGTAGCACGCGCGCACGGCTCAATGGGGGAGGTGGATCGATATAGTAATATGCGTGAGGTGCTTGGGAATAGAAGCTGGTATTGTAAATGACATTCTATCTAATGATCTATATATAAAATACGCGTTACGTTCTAGTGACGATGCTCCGGTCGGTTTCGCGCGTGCAGTGTTGTAAATCTAATCATCGATGTGTTCCGTATATAGGGTTAGGTTTATAGATTAGCTACCTCTCACTCGCAAAGTTGGAATCAGAATTTGTAAGGTGAAAAGAGAATCTCGATTCTTTAAAACGATAAGCTAATTTGATTTGCGTTACATTCTGATAAAATGAGAAAAATAAAATAGCTGAGAATCTGAAAAATTGAAAAAATAATCAAACGATCCGCCCTCGCAAATCCAAAGAAATGTTGAACTCAAAGAGAAGAGAATCCCCCCGCGGCCTGCTTTCGAGTTCCAGTAAAGACTATGGCAGACGCGCTATATCTATTTACCGCTGTTGTTGTAGGCAAGCCTGGTAGTGGTGGTGTCACGCGCACGGCTGGTCACGCGCACGGCATTAGGAACTCCAAGGTTCTTGATCCTAACAGTAACCGCTTTTGAACCCGAAATTCCCTCATCGGCAATAAGACAGGCAGCCAGGCCAGCTACGTGAGGACTTGCCATGGAGGTACCACTGATGGTATCGGTGGCGTCGTTTGAGCCAATCCACGCCGATGTTATTTCATGTCCTGGTGCAAAGATATCGACAGCGGGCCCAAAGTTGGAGTACCTATCAAATCATTTGTGTTAGGGATTGATTCACAACAGCCAAAAGCGAGACTGGGATCTACATACTCAGTCATCTCGTCTTTGATGTTGGTTGCGCCAACAGTAATGGCAGACTGGGCGGAAGCTGGCGAGGTAGTCGATGCATCCACCCCCTCATTTCCCGCGGCAACAACGAAGGTCATGCCAGAGGCGGCAGCGGCGTTGACGGCCTTATTGAGAGCAGCAGAGTATCCACCACCAAGAGACATGTTTGCAACACACTTGGACGATTTTCCCTTGGATCTGGCGTCGGATGTAGCCCATTCAATGCCCTTCATGACACCAGAGTTGGATCCGGTTCCATATTTGCCACCAAGAACCTTGACAGCAATAAGATGGGCCTTTTTAGCAAGGCCGTAGGTAGAACCGGCGATGGTACCGGCAACATGTGTCCCATGTCCACCTTCATCATCATTAATAGCGTCCACCATGTTGGTCCCCCATGTAGCCCGACCGCCAAACTCCTCGTGTTTGATGTTGATGCCAGTGTCAATTACATACGCATTGACGCCCTCTCCGGCGGACTCGGGGTAGTGATAGCTCGATAGATCACCCCCGGCCTTATGTGAGATGCGTGCAAGACCCCATGATGGGACCGTGTCCTGCGTGACAAATTTCTGTGCACGCATCACTTGGTCTTGTTCGACAAAGTCCACCTATAATTGTTGGCGATATAGTTAGAAATATGACTAGAGATAAAGTTTAGGAGGATATGGTATGTCAGTATTTCTACGAACCTCAGGGCTGTTCTTGATGTGTTCAAGGGTGTCTGGATGAAAAGCACCGTAGTAGGACTTGAAACTGCCAAAGCAGCATCTCTCGCGCAATCCACACAGGGTGGAGTCTTCGGTGCTGCTGGCGCTCATGCGGTCCGTGTGATGGGACATTACTGACTGGACATGGGTCTCGAAATTCTCTTCCTCAACGTCTTCCTTGAGGACAACGATGTAGTTTTTGGAAATGGCCTCTACGGAAGCAGTGCTCATTTCAGGTTCGGGAAAGGGATGCATGATGAATAGGATTTGGAAGGTTGAAGTTTGAGTGAGTTTTTTTTTGAAATCTTTAGAAGGATCTTTGAGTAGTGGAGGATGGGTAGATGAAGTGGAGATGATGTTGTGAGAAAATTAACGTTTCGCGGTGGGAACAGACCGGCCTTTATAGATACAGAATTCCGGGGTCCTTCTCCCCCACAATGATGAATCCTACTACTAACAAGACTATCAGATGCCTTATTGTCAGACCCCGCAAGCTAGGTGCTTACTTTGGACAGCCTTGCCAACCCTGTGCCCTGAACCGGTCTTGACATCTGGAGCCGGGGGGATATCTGTTTCGTCGATCGAGAGCTGAGAGCAAGCATACATCGTTCAGAGAAAGCTATAGCAAGCCTCATGCTCACGAATCTGACAACCCGTGATGTCATGATACCATTGCTTAATGCGGATTGACTGAATATATCGCGCACATTAAGGACTTACTATCCTGAAAGGTTGTTATTCCCCGTATCAGAGCTTTAGCTAAAGTGACTCCCCACTCTTTTGGGCGTCAAGAACATAGAATTGTATGGGCACTACATCCTTACTTCTATAGGTAGAGTTCCGATAACACAATGTCGTATCTATGGCGCACAAAGAACTTGAAATGATATCGTGGCATGCTAGGATAAGTACTTTTATTTTCAGAAGGACAAGGAGTTAACGTACAATACCTAATAATCCCAGCCATCGCACTACTAGTGTGTACTTGAATCTTTGTAGCAACGTCAGTGCCAACGAAACTATACGACTGCAAAAGAAAATCCACACAAAGCAGTATCAAATACTAGTAGCAACGAGTCAAGCAACCAATGAAGCGTTGTGAGGTGCGGACTTCGTCATGACACTCATATGAGTATGAGTACCGACGGTTTGCCCCTCAAGAACCTCGAAGAACGAAAGAAAGCTCTTCAGCCTGCAATACTCACGAGCCAGTGAGATACAGTAATAGTAACGAGATGTGCAGTTTCTACTTGATGCGCGCGCTGCCCACATTACGCGTCACGTGTAGCAACCTGACAGGTCAACTTCAGTTGGATTAGCAGGGTCGACTTAACTACGATATGCGCCGAACGAAGGCCAGATACCCGGTCTGATAGGGGCATCGCAGGATCTACCAGATACGAGATGGGCTTGATGGAAATCAATGTAAACATTGATGTCATTACCCATCACGAAAAAGGGATCATCACCCTTAGCTACCGTTGATTTGACGTTGATGTAAAGCAAGTGCCATGGAGCCATCTGTCAAAAGTGGTTTCCTGAACCAAACACACTGCTTAACGCTAACGTCGATCTTCTGACAGGCATTAATGATCACTGGTGCGATACAATCTGCTGCATGGCGGGATCTTATTGCTGCACGGGGGTGCTACGCTAGCGCTACCGAGCCCAATCAAGAGGTTGATTGGAGAGGTTGCACCGTAAAAAGCAATCGGAGTGTGGGCGTGAGGAGGGCCAATCAGGATCAACCTAAATAGCTGCGAGATGTGTTGACTGACTGGGAGAGCAGAGACGTTTAAACAAAGTGTGGCAAACAAAGATGGCTGAGTACATAGCTGTGAATCGCAGATATCGCCACTTGGTACACTGAGGAGTAGCTTTTGTTTCGTTTTGATCAATTGAGAATACTAGTAACAGGCCCCCCCCGCCCTTCACGCCGATGTCCCAATTCATCTCTTTCTCGCCCTAGTTAAAACACAACGAAACAACACGTAAGATTATTGGTGGCGGCTAGGCAGGTCGAATCGACAGCGAGTATCACAACTAAAGGAGATCCATATCCGCGATTGTTTCGAACCCGTGATTTGTTTACCGATATAGACTTTCACAAGGGCGCCAGCAGCAAGCGTCGAGATACCACATGGCACAAGCTTCCCGAAAAGGACCAGGAGCTGAGCGCTCAGGCAGAAACCCGCTTTGACATATGCATGTCTTCCAAAGTGCAGATTGCGAGATGGGAGGCCTCAATCGTTGTATGGATGCGCGGGAGCGGAGACGTACCGAGGATCTTCTATGGGGTGGCAGGATGGCGGTAGGGCTGACTTGATGCTCGTGTATGTAGCCTTACTCTTTGCTCGGGGGGAGTCATGTGCTGTATTAGCACTGGGTTTGGTGATGTGTTGGAAAGTGGTTATATGTATCATTTCCATCCCAAAGCGTGTGAAACACCCTAGGCCAAGATGGGATACCCAAGTACTCTCGTCGCAACCACGTACCCCATGGATTGAAGCAATAACTTGATATGGATCTCAGTCTCGCTATCCAGCGCTGTCAAGTATGTTGGGTGCATGTAAGTATGGATCATGTATGTAGCACTGCTACACTCCAATTATCATGATTCCGAAATAGACTCTCATTTGAACGTGCCGCTGCATGTATTACTCATCCCGACAGCTACCATTGCCGAAAGTGCAGAATCAACGGGCTGGACTGGGTCTGCTTCGGGGTTGCCTGCGGGCGGGGATGCGTGTAACAAGCGGGATTTTCCGTCCGGGTGGGTTTTGCCTTTTATTCTTTGCGGGGAGAGGTGCATGCGCGAGAGAGGGGGGAAGAGGTGATGATTTGAGGGAGTGGTGGTGAGTTGGTGGGTTGGTTGGGTAGGTGGTAGCGAGGAGCGATAGGGCTGAGTTCTTGAGATAGCAAAGTGAATGTTGCACTAGGGGAGCGAGAGAGATGATATTTGTTCATGATGATCACTTAATAGGTGTCTTTTTTATTTAACTACCCTTTTTTGAGACACAGGGAGTTGTAAATTTCAGGAAGAATGTTGAATTTAAATCTAAGTGAAGTACCCGTGGTACTGTGAGTACAGCAGCTGCTGTAGTGAAACATATATAGGGTTAGGGGATCGTGCGTTAAGTCTGTTAAGAACGCTGGACTTAGAAAACCACTATTCTATAAAAACTTGAATAAGTAGAATATGCTAGTAGAAATCTAATAGACTATGTACGTATTCTGAAATTTGTACAGATTCATTTCGATTCTCAAGTCTGAGGTTGTTGCCAAGCTTGATCCTTGTAAGGATAATAATTTATTCATATATGCCAACCAGTAGCTACCAATCCGTTGTGGTGTAATGGTTAGCATCAGTCGCTCTCACTGACTAGATCGGGGTTCAATTCCCCGCAACGGAATTCAATTCAAAACTTTTATTTTTCCAAAGATAATCCTCTCGTCGCAAAGGACGTACTTGCGCTGCCGAGTGCGTTTGTTAATGAAATGGGGATGTCTGGAAAGCAGTGGCCCCCCAAACGCCCTTTTGCTTCTTCCCATTATCGTGGATTCGGGACATAGATTGCTGGTCTTTCTTTGATTGGGGGACTACCGAAGGCTTGTTAGTAAGCTCAGTTAACCCGCGTATAAGTACACACATCGAAGAAAGACGAACCCATACCCACCCGTCTCATGTGCTTGACTCGGACCCCACCCGTCTCATGTGCTTGACTCGGACCCCACCCATTCAGCGCTGGCCTATTGAGTGCTCTCGGTCTGCTTCTACGGCTGCTTGATGCTGCGAGGATCAAGTTCGAATCATAGAATATCACTCGTCAATACAAAGAGTGTAGCCAGCCGAACCGCAACGTACCATGTGTGGAATAGATGATTGGGTATTGGATCTGCATGTAAAATACGGGTACTGGTTACAAGCACGCTGACAGTGTCATACCGGATGCACGTCGAGGCTGTGCTTCAATGAATCGCCGACCTTAACACTTTGGTAGCTGAGATCTTGGTAGTCAGTGGGTATCATGAGGCATAGGCTATGTTTTGAGAGGGATGGGTCTAGGGGGTTGGGTAGTCGTTCATGCTCCTGCGTACGGTATTGCTATGCGGTGGGGATCGTGACATATGTTTTCGTAGCTTTGGAGGATCGCGGCGGTGTATTTCCCAGTAGGTGTGTCGTGGAAGGGTTGAAAGATGGACCCCGATAGATGCGCCATATTGCCATTGTGGCAGTATGCAAAATGGATCCTGCACTTTATTAGAACCGCGGACGTGGGATGTTGCCTTGGGTGGTTTTGCGTGACACGAGAATCAATGGTTGCCTTAGGCGACGCTTGTTTTGGGGTGTGACGGATGTTGAGGAGGCCACTTTGGATAAGTGTCCAGATTCATTATCAGTCGAAAGATTCGCTGGTGTACATCGTTATAGCCACTTATTCTCACTTGCACACCACGCTCATGAATTCCTGCGCAATCGCTATACAAGTTCAGATATCTCTTCCAGAAGTATATATGTAGAAGTTAGTGGAGATCGACATTTCCAATTGATTAGCTGCAGATGACCATTTCCGCAAACAGGTAAAAAAAACACGCTTACCGAACTTGTGCATACTGTAAATGGAAGTATTGGTTACGTATCTGGGTAATATACTGAGGTTGAGCCTAGCTATTGCCCGGGGGGACACATAGAGGGCCTGAGAGATTTTAGTTTTAAGAATTGCTGATAATGGACCAGGGAGAACCAAATATCCGCTGTAAAGCTTCAACTCCCAAGAAATGAATCAAGTTGGATTCCCGGTGTTTGTTCTCCTGATCACTTGATTTGCTGTTGCCTAGGCCTAGGCAACGATGTGGCTATGGAGGTAGAGAGGGGTTGCAAAGTACCGATAGCTTAATCCAGCTAGCACTCTAGGATGAAGGATTTTTTACTCTCCGCCGCTCCAATATTGCCAAGAAGTTACGCCGGGGGTCGGCCTGGCCGGTTGTGCAAGTTACCTCAAGTATTCGTCGTTGGTGGTTGACTAGGACTTGAGATAATGAGGTGATCGGTTCAAGGTATGGAAATGTCCCATATATATCTAGCGTTTTCTAAAAGGGGTTTTCGTGCAGCGTACGTGATCGAACTTACACCTCGCTCTCCGATAGCGGTTATGAACATTACCGGTACCTCTTCAATCAAGGCCAAAAGAGCGGAGGCGGGTTCTCGGGATGGGCTTCGATTGATTGAGCGGGATTCATAATTTCTACGATCGACAATCTTCTCGGGGGTGGCGGTATGATGAGCCGATATCCAGATTTATTAATGACAGAAGCGTTTTGAGCTGAGCACATACAGCGAGTTTGTATCCCAGTGTGATGTCGAAGCTGAATATCTTGAGCTAGGGGAGCTGACTTGGGAAATCGATTTCGTCTGAAGTGGTCTCTTGTGTCGGGTTTGTCTGGAAGAGGCTGGAGGTAGTGAAACCATTCCCGGAATGCAATTTGGGAGAGTGAATCATCTGGATTTAACCCACAAGCCTTGGTATCGATTTAACTTTGGAACTTTGTATCGAAGAGCTCAAATTTTAAGTGAGGATACTTCTAGATTAATATTCTGACCTTTTATTTTCTTGGAGAACGCTCGCATATCTGTCGATATATGTAGATTTAAGTTGGCGTTTCCAGTTTAGAAGTGATCTGTCAAGCCTGAAATGTGATGGCTAGTGCAGCCAGGTGTCAGTTGTTTGGCGCGATCTCGCCACCAGCTATCGTCGGTGGGGGTTGATGACGAAGATATTATGTATATATGTATATGCGTAGCTACATTAGCTGGCCGTTTGTGATGAGGTGAGGTCAAAGATAACGTATACGTAAGTCACCGTACGTACCTTAAAAGAAGGCCTAGCCTACAACGGAGAAATGGGTAAGATGCCAGCCGGATCATCTAGCTCAACTGATCACGACACCAGATGGAGAAGCGGTTATAGAGAGCTAGTATGCTACTATTGCGGGTTTTCAAAAATAACCGGAAATTTGCGTTACAACCAAGATTTGTATGGGAATGCAACTTCAACGTCGCTTTACACCAGAATTATAAGAGGAATAGGACAAGAGATTTAAGTTCTGTGATTCTTCATAGTTGTATTGTATAGAATTTTAATACGGGGTCAAGGGTGGTACTTTCAAAATTTGGTTGTTCTAGGCCATTTACTTGGTTGCGAGGCTCGTTTCCGGTTATTTTTGACAACCCACTGTACCATGTGCTTTCTGTGTATCGAGCTTCGGATATGCAGTCCCTTAACCACCTATTGAGTTTGTGAGTGTTACTGACATGCACGCGTACCAAGGCCGCCACATGACAACCTCGTTGGATGCAGGTACACGTATACAGCGAGGTCATAAATCATGACAAGGCGCCCATTTTACACCAAAAATGCCACTTTTCAACCCGGTCCTCAACTACCAATTATGATAGATATTTTCTGAGAATTAAAATACTATATATTTTATATATGAATAATCACTCTACCAGCTGAAAATTACAATCCCACACCTCCAGCATGAGGTGCGCCGGTCCTGTTACGTTGAGTTGCAAAAAATGCGCCAAGACCCAAATCTCCAAGTCTCTCTACTTCTAGCTCATGTAACTTCTTCCACATATGACTTCAGAGAGTGCCCTTTTAGATTTATTAAACCTGATAGCCAACATTTCACCCCCCAAAGCCTTGTTTATTATTGATGGCAATTGCGTTGTGAGTGGTGGTTGCATTTAGACCAATTTTTGACGAATTTTGGTGTGGTTTGGTTGCCTTCCCATGATTTATGACCTCGCACTTATACGTACTCTAGTGCCCGATATTGTGCAGAATTCGAAAGCTTCTAGAAATTGAAGTGCATGATGCAGATTCGCTAAGTAAGAATCCTTTACACTTAAAGTAAAAAGGGTGTTGAGCAGATTACGCCCGAGGAGGGTGGGAGATCCGGAAGAGTGCCTTGGGGTGTTTCACGTGGACTTCGAATTCCGTTCTTTGCAAGCGCCTCTCATCAACGCATACGTATATACTACATGTTAATCACGTGTAATTCAAACAATAAAATAGACACACAGAGAACATGTGCTTCTGATCCCAGCCGCGGTCAATGCTCAGAGCGGCATACATATATGCAGGTTATAGATCCCGCAGGCGCTCCGGCTGCTTGCTACCGAATTCAAGGTCGATCCGCTAGCTAATGCAGGTCTCAAAAGACCGGTGGACCACCCTAGATGATGGGGCCGAGGATACTCGACTCTAGGATGGAGTGGTACTCTACTCCACTCTACTACTCCAGTCTGGGACTCCAAGTTCCTGCAGGCTCGCATCCTTACGACACCAAGGCTAGATATATTAGGATATAAGTCAGTTCTGTCTCTCTGGATTACTAATGAATTAAACAAAAAAAAAGATATTTCTGGATCACAAGGTATCACTCGGTACCATATACTCGTGACAGAAAGTACCGCTGATACATAACGACATGAAGCTGGCCGATTCAAGGCCTCATTACTTCACACGGTGGTAAATCTCATTGAATGACCACGAATTAAGTGTAGAGATTCAAGAAATTATTATCGAAATGCAGCGTATCCGTTTATACCACCGTCCCACCGTCCCACCATCCAACCGTCCTATCATCCCACCACACGACCTATCCGTTTGTACCACCACCACCCCACCACTCAACAGCTACCTCGTTCCACCAATTTTCCCCCCCGAACATCCAAAAAGAAGAAAAAGCACAGGGCACAGTAGCCCACTACCACAAACCCTCCCTCGCATACCAAAACCAACACCGCGCGCGATATCCAGCCTACCCATTCTAGAGAATAAATGATGTTAAGAAGCCTGCAGTGGAGAGATGGATGCGAGGACAATTCAGAAGAAATAATTCTTACTAGTCCAGTTCATCCACCATTTATAGTCACGCTGTTGTGACTAGTCCTGTGTGATGTTTAGCAACTTACTATAAGGAGTAGAAGGGTATTACCTACCTCGAGTGCTTCAATTCGTGAGCTTCATAGTGTATTGGTTAGTGAGTCACTCCTGCGAGAAGGGGTAGTTGAGGGGACTTACGATTGTGCGTTCCGGATCCTTTGTAATGTTATGTTCTGATGGCCATTGTACTTGATCGAGCTGGAGCCCACTCACCTTTCCCTCCGGTCGTGACGATTAGCCGGTCAGAAGGCTATTTCACTCAAGGATGAGACGTCTACTCACTCGCTGTACGTGGTAAAATAATTGTCAGAGAGCTTAAAGCGACTACATAATTCGATACCTCAGCGGTGTGGGGTCTACTCACGCCCTGCATACGGTCAATCGAACGAAGTCCTCGGCGGTGTGAGGTCTACTCACAGCCTGCGTACGGTCAGCACATCATCGATCGAAGTCCCTGGCGGTGTGAGGTCTACTCACTCCCTGCATATTATCAGCACACCATCGAAGTCCTCAGCGATGTGCGGTCTACTCACTCCCTGCATACGGTCAGCACACCACCGAAGTCCTCAGCGGTGTGCGGTCTACTCACTCCCTGTATACGGTCAGCACATCATCGATCGAAGTCCCTAGCGATGTGAGGTCTACTCACTCCCTGCATATTATCAGCACACCATCGAAGTCCTCAGCGGTGTGCGGTCGACTCACCTCCTGTATATTATCAGCAAATCATCGAAGTCCTAAGCGGTGTGGGGTCTACTCACCCCCTGGATACGGTCAGCACACCACCAAAGTCCTCAGCGGTGTGCGGTCGACTCACCAGCTGTATACGGTCAGCACATCATCGAAGTCCTCAGCGGTGTGCGGTCTACTCACTCCCTGTATACGGTCAGCACACCACCGAAGTCCTCAGCGGTGTGGGGTCTACTCACTCCCTGTATACGGTCAGCACATCATCGAAGTCCTCAGCGGTGTGGGGTCTACTCACCACCTGTATACGGTCAGCACATCATCGAAGTCCTCAGCGGTGTGGGGTCTACTCACTCCCTGTATACGGTCAGCACATCATCGAAGTCCTCAGCGGTGTGGGGTCTACTCACTCCCTGTATACGGTCAGCACATCTATCATTGAAATGATAAGCGGGGGTCTACACACGGTTTGTGCCTGATTAAGTCTTAGTCAGAGTGCTACAACGTATACGTAGGGAATTAGAAGATTTCTTCACTTCACCTGCTGTCAATCTCATTTACACGGATGTGAAACCGTTGTATATGCATCAAGTCGTCATCCTTTGAAGGCTCGCCACTATTCGAACTTAAACCGTTTTGTTGCTCGGTGGCATCCGGATCAATTTCAACAACCGTAATTTGCGAGGTTATTTGAAACCACCGTTTACAATACGTACTGTCAGACGTATAATTTAGTCACAATTCCCTCGCCCCAGAGTTAACAGTCGATCAATTACCAGTTCACGCGCTCTAGCTGGTAGCCAGTACCAACGGACCCGGTGTATTCTGTTTTGCAAGCCGGGCACCTATAGTCATTTTCGCCTTTTTCTATCTTCTTCCGTACGACTATTGCCATTGAAAGCAGAATGCCAGGCCTGATATTGTTACGCCAATCTTCCATTCTCATGAGCGCGCCGCTCTCTTCGTTCACGATATCGTATTCCCCACGTTCAACAAATGACTTTCCCGCAGATTCCTTGAAACTCATTTGGATCAAAGACCGAAAATCCTTTAATAATAACATCAGTAATGTCGCAAGGCGCATGAAGTCGTAGACTAAACAAGGCTCATACCTCCCATTTTAAGCACAACTCCCATGGTAATAGACGTTGTCCGTTCAGTGCGTCAATAAATCTAATTGGATCATGGTCTGGAGAAAAGCCGACATATTTCATCCCGTTTTCGACTCGTTTCAAGACGACATTGGTTTCTCGAACTTCGTCTGTGACCATTTTCCTGGAAACCAGCTCTGTAAGAATCTAACTGGCAATTGAACTAGGTTCGTGGTTAAATACATCGAGCCGCTAAGGAAGAGCATATCTATCGTAGCAAGACCTCTTTCGAGCTTCGACCTGTATTCTTGAAACCTTTCCCTTCCCCGTACCTCCCATGCCGCTCGCCGGAATGACCTTCCTTTCACAAGCTTTCGGTTTAGCTGCTCGAGAACATTTAGGGTCGCTAAGGCCTCTGAAAGTTGTTCCCTAGCAAGTTTAGCAACGGGTGGTGGTAGATCTGAGTTAGCAGGCATAGGTCACGATCAACGATTTCCAACCTAGCTTTTAATTTCATTAAATCCGCCGTCAGGTCCTCGCGCTCTTTTTTGGCTCCGCTAACGTTTACCCATAACTTGAACCCGATTTTAGTTATCAAAAGAACATCGCCGATACTGACACCGAACGACATGATGAAAGCCGCACTACTGGAGATAATATGTTGCAAATAGTAGCCTAGCTAGGTGTTGTATTAATAGTGTGGTAGTTTACGGTACATGTAGCTCTAAAGCGGGGGTGGCCTAGTGGCACGATAACATAGCCACACATGCTCAAGGCACCGCCACTGACATTTTGTAATTGGCTATGGTTTTCTTTAGCACCCTGCAATAACGGCCAACCACTGATTTGAAATTTTACAGATTCTTATAAAGACATACTCCGTTTCCCTGCTCAGCGAGATTCCTATTGACCGAGAATCGTGCTCTCCCACCACGTAAAAACTAGCCTCCGAGCCTGCGGCTAAGAAATAGTTATATCTCGCTGAGTAGGGAAACGGAGTACAGATAGTGATTGTAACCTATATATGTGTTCAGTACGGATACCTACATATAATATTATATACCTAGTCGTCATACTGTAGCCTCTAGTAGCCGTGGAAATGCATCAATCTTGACGTTTCCCGTACAAAAAGTGGTGAGATACACATTATTTGATGCAATAACAGACCGGCTGTGTGTTAAAGGCATTCCTGTCCCATTACCGACACTTTGCCTACACATATACTGATGCATTTACCTGTTAAAGGCAATAAGATACGACTTTACTGAGGACATTCCCTGTTAAAGGCATGTTAAAGGCAATAAAATACGACTTTACTGATGCCTTTCCAATGGTTTCCGGTGTTTCCCGTTTTCCGCCGGAAAATCAAGGTTTTCCTATGAGGCCTCTCCTCTAGATCTCGAGATAGTTGAGTCCCCAAAGAGAATATTTCGATGGGGTCATCAAATGGTATCTGGCATCAATGGGCTTGTAACAGTTGGGGAATACAATTTCATTTTGGTGGATCCATTGTTTGGCATATGCATGCAGGCTATTCTGGCTTGATGCTCCAGGTATAATAGTAGGATGCTCTTTGATGATTCGTTTCATTGGCAATGGCCTTCGTCAATCATGTGAAGCATCACCGGTGGCCAAAACTTATCCCCCCTTGTGTATACGCCCAAAATGAGTGACAGAAGCGTGACAGGTAAAGTCGTCGGTAAAGTCATTAAAAATCGTCTGTAAAGTCGTCCGATTTCCCTTAAAACGACTTTCCCTCCGCCAAAATATTGACATTACCCAGCAAAATGAAATCAATTCCCGACGACTTTACTGAATATTATTCAATATTTTCAGGTACACATTTCCACGGCGCCTAGAGAGCGCTGGGGTCGTTAGTCGGTATTGTTTAGAGTGGCTGGAAATCGGGTAAGCTCGGAGTTTTCGAACCCTAGAGCTTTGAGTTTCCCATTAGACTTATATTGACCTGAAATGGATAAGTATAAAGTGATTATAGATGATAGATGTAGGTATTTCTTGTGCTAGGATTCTAGAGTAGGTCTTTTGCCAAGATATGCACTACTTAAGTACCCAGCTTGTGTTTCCAACCTTACTCAGCTAACATGTCTTGGCCACTGCTCAGCTAACATGTCTTGGCCACTGCTCAGCTAACATGTCTTGGCCACTGCTCAGCTACTTTGGTCTCTAGTACTGACCCTTCGTCTGTCCCCGCGATTCACAACGACTTTTTTCCGAACAAAAGGCGTGGTGGTAGGCACAATTCTCACGATAAATGGTATACACCACTACTCTTTTTACCAATTTTGCGTCGCCGGCTAATGCTGAAAGTTGGTCTCTGGGTTTTGTATAGTGAGCCACAAACCGCCACAAGTTCTGGGTACAGACAAATTAGGATCCGGTACTCTCCTATAGTGCCATTATCCAGCACCTGAACTTGGCTCCATGAAAAGCAAGAGGAGCGTGGGTGCATGTAGTTAAGCCATATATGGATGATGTAAACCATTACACGTTCAATTTGGGAATTACTAGGTTTGAGGAGCCGGCGGCAGCTTCAGCGAGAGGTACATACGCCCGGCCTTTGACCATCGGCTTTTCCAGGTCGACCAATTCATATACACATTTTATTAGTCCTGCGGCATGCATTATACATGTAGTTCGCGATGGGCTTTTTACTAGCTCTGTCTCACCAACCCAGATCCGATCCTCTGGACTGGGGCCTAGGCTGAACGACTGTAGTACAAATAGCGGTGTTGTAAGTTCGGCAGGTTTCTATCCAGATCTGGGGCAAGCATACGTGTATACATCCTCCGGCTTTTCTCAAGTGCGTGTATGGCCATGGTGTGCCGAACTTAAAGGCGAGGAAGGCCAATTGCTACAGCCCCGGCCACCATATTAGAATTACATGTGAGATATATAAAATTCTATAGGGTATAATTACAAGACCAGAGCAGACATAGCGATGAAAAGAGCTACACAGTTTCTATATACTTTCCAGTGAAAGGACTTACGGCGGGGGTGCGTGCGGTGTCTTCGGCGACAACGTACGTGACTATCAATTAGCGCTGTAATCGATTCAGGCGCAGCCTAGGCCTGGGCCAAGGTTGGCATACATGTGATAATGTATCTCGTAGAAGCTACAGTATGTATGTATGAGAAACATCCGGATTCCAGAGACGTCTATATACCAACGCCGGTAGTTACAAAAGATCGAAGTGTATAGATACAGCCCATTCTCATATCACCTGAAGTTAAAGCAGAACCGGTGTCAACCGTACGCCCACTCTACCAGTGGCACTCGCTCCGGTTCACAGGATATCACTCGTGTGTTACAAGATGCCGAATCCCTGCGCGCATCGCCGAAGATCACATCCGAACACTGACAAATCCGGCGAAATAGAGCTCCAGCTGCAGACAGACGCAAACCTCGAACAGGAGATCTTCGCATATTCCCTGATCCGGCCAAGGGCAGATCCGCCATGCAGGTTCCGGATGTCCAGAAAAGTGCAGCGGCTACGTACTCTACCTTATACCTGTACTCGAAGCTATCCTTTTCATGTGGCAGAGCTTCTTCAATTGCAAGGGAACGGCAGTTGCAGAGCTTTCAAAAGGGCTGCTTGAGTGAGCCTCGGACCTCGATTCTGTGGCCGGTGCATAATCTCCTTGTGTGAGATCAGATGGTAGAGTAGACTCCTAGCTGTTGCATCTACGGATAGCTAGCATAGTACCGGCAGATCATATTGATTATCGGTCCTATCCCCAAAGCTGTCGATGCTGAATCCCCTACAACAGTGGAATGAGAGATCACATGATATATATGCACGAGAGAGATTTTGCAGTGCCTCATTCGTCCAGGGGATAGAACTGCATGCATGCATGTACCTGTGAAGTGTGGGGTCGGAGTTAGTCCCGGGCTCTTGGCACTGAGCTTGTTGCAACATCAGCTCTGGGAGGGAGGTACTCTACAGATGTAATAATAATTATAATGCGCCAAGAGTACCGAGAGAACGGTACCGGCGATCATTTACACCGTATGCATAGAAACCTATTCTTTCGGCGGTTACGAGTAATTCCCAACGCCCGCTCGCCAAATCAGAAAGCAGAACTCACTCCCGCGGTCTCAGCTCGGCCCCGTTTCGTTGCCATTGCTGTCGAGCCTTTACGGGATGAGTTACGTGCGCGTACGTCATCAATTATTCAGCGATTCTGTTTGGCGTGTGGCCTTTAATTCTCTACATACATGTGCCATGCATATGTGAAGATATATGCCGCTTCAAGCCAGAACTACATACATGAGCATGCGCAGAGGCCATGAAGACCCTAAGAAACTCAGATGACTTGTATGATTGACTGAAGAGACCAAGTACATCATGCTCTCCCTCAGACCCTGTTTAATTGAGCTGGAAGTAGATGCTACAAATGGATCTTTCTCAGGAAACATGCTCTGTCGGCCGTGTACCGAAGTGCCGGCCTGTGTTACGGGTCTATCAAACCAGGAGAGGAGTTTAGCACGTGTTTGACGGCACCGATCGTGATGGACGAGTCTTCTCAATTGCTCAAGCTGCGGCATGTGCTTTGTATCAGCCAATTGCAATGAAGGAAGCATCTAAAGCTAGCTCAAAGCAGAGTTGTGCCCAGCAATGCTCACGAGCAGCGCCTAGGAATATTGGGAGGAAACTGCCAGACTGTTCTGTTGGAGGGCATATATGATGGTCTCCACATTGAAGTAATATTTAGAGCGAACCGTCTATATAAACCGCCTCCACCCACCTCCGAACAAGTTCAGCATCCACAATTCTCCACTACAAACCATCATCATGAGCGAAGTATCAAGCAACATCGCTGCCCGCACCCCTCTGTGCTCAACCCTCTTCTTCCACACCTCCCACGGCCTAACAGAGGTACACCCGGTGGTGTTTCACCTCGACGCTGAGGGCAATCTCTGGCGCAGAGGATGGGGTGGAGAAGAAAAAATCGATCTTAGTGAGGACGCAAAGCCTCATCCCACTGCAGGAATGGCCGTGCTCGGGCGGGGAAGCGATATCCACAGCATCTTCAATGTACGAATTCTATCACCTTCATAATACTGTCTTTCTAGCTTGCTCACATTACCCAATCTCAGATGCGCCTCTACTACACCAACAAGGATGGCAAGATCTTCGAGGTAAAACACACTTGAGCCCATCTGAACGTAGAGAGAGTGACCGCTGACAATATTGGACAGCACTGCTACACCCAAGGGCGTGGTTGGTACCCGGGTGCACTGACTGGCCAGTTCTGCGCCTTTCCGGGCTCAGGGCTTGGGGTCCGTGGCAGCGACAACGGAGCCTTGACGTGGCTCTTCTACCAAGACCCTAAAACGTGCGGGATCCACACCATGTTCCGTAGCTCTTTGGATGGTGCATTCGAGCAAACGAGTGTCTGTTTTGCGCCGGGGATGAAGTGCACCGAGATAGCGGTTGATCCAAAGGGGAATGCGGGCGTGTTCTACCAGAAGCCAGATGGCAAGATCACGCAGGCCGAAGCCACTACGCCTTACGGTAAGACCTCGAGAACCCTGGTGCGGATGAGGGTGCTGCAGTGAGATATATGTAGTACACGTACTGACTATGAGTCCACCTGACCTTCAGAGCCGTTCGCTGGCAACACCATATATCCACCCGGTACAGCCATCGCGACAACGAAAGACAAGATGTTTTGTGTTACAGGAGACAACAAAATTGAGGTCAACATATATGATCCCGACAGCCACAAGTGGCAGCCGCCTACGGTGATTGAGGGCGTGAGTGTGATCCCAATGGCACCACTGTCAGCAAACATGCACCAGCCTCCGAGAGATGGCACATATACCATCACGATGATAACGCAGAAGGCGAAGCATGAAATTACAAAGATTGGGTACACGGATCCGAAAAACGTTGTTATTGCCACTGTCAACTAGGTATGTTGGTGATGGGCTTTGACTCTTTCTTTGGGAGGCCGGTTGGAATTACGATGGGATTACTACATGTAGCTATAGCGCTATATGAGCATTTGTCGTTGAAATTAATTATTCGAAATGGAGAGAATAGTGCTTTTGAACATCGTTTGTCGTGAATATGCTGTTGGCTGTTCCAGTTGAAACATCGAGTACTCGAACATAATTGTGTAATTGTAATCCAGGGTTAGGGTTCTTGCGTTGAAGTCACAGGTTATCACTCGCCAAGTAGACATTTATCGATAAGGATTTCTTTGTTCAATTGGTTCCTGAATGTAGCACTAAGACGTCGACGACGCTCAGTCTGTAGCTAGTATTAAGCCCCCCTTGATAAAGGAATATGACGAAAATAGAATCTAGGTATGGCTTGATCAATTGATAAGGATAAAATCTTTAATTATCCCGGCCTAGATCGACGAGCAGGAGGAAAAGCTCGACTCGGCTTATGATAGAAGCTGTTAGAATTAACTAGACCTTCGGACTCTCGAGTGGCTCGGGAAGTGCTCGAGCCCCGCTCCTTGAAGTAATTTCAGATCTGTTTGTAGAAACATACGTTATGAGGGTTAGGGTTTGATCTTCCGAGATTTTAAAATTGAATTACCAAGAATGTTAATTGTATCTATGGTGGGAGCTTACGGCACATGAAGTAACACCTGAAAGGGCTGGAGCCAACTTTCTCGTGAGGATGGCTGCTCGTGGCTGCTCGAGCTTTGGGCTCGAGTCGAGGACTCGAGTTAACTCGTCTTGTCGACCACACTAGCCATAGGTGACGATATATAGATATAGGTTAATTTCCTAATGAGTTCAAGCTCATGAGTAGAGTATAAGTTACTAATAAAACATTTGCTAATTGGAGGATATTGTCGAGAAGATGACTTGAAATCCAATTTTAATACAATGAGTCGGCACCCAACATCTGTACTTAATTATTTTGATAAATATGATACCCGTGAAAACCAAGGCCGCGAAGCGGCCACTAGACCTTGGAATAACAAGCATTTTGGAAGTATGACGAAAGAAAGGATAAAAAAGAGAGTCAACACCGACTACATCGCACCATACAGCAAGATCAGACTAAATGCCCACCGTCAGTTTCTCTTCTTTTTCCGGTTACGTCTTCTCCTGCGCCCAAGATATCCGTATTGCTTATCCTTGTCAACAACTGACCCCTTCGCCGTATCCCCAGGCACGAGAACATCAAGCTCCAAATGATTTCCTCCCATATCTCTAATCTTGATAACCTGACTCAACGTCCTGTCCAGGCCAATACCAGCAAAGTGTTTTCGACAACATTGGTAGAAGGACCGCTGCCCAGGCATAGCGTAGCGTACTCCGGTCTTGACTTCCAGGACTGGATGATATTGCCCCGGTAGCATTGCCATATAGATCCTCATAGCACGAACAGAACATGGGTCGAGAGGATTACCACTCCAAGGATGGATGTGCGTGTTGATATGCGGAATCCGTAAACGTAACAATGGCTCCTGAGAGGTGGGGATGTGAAATTTGTGTAATCCATCAAGGGCTCTGGCATCAGATGGACTGGAAGAATCTGTCGGCCTTCGCGGGGGTATACGAGGGGGTACTCCTGTATATTGCGTCAGGGAACGCTCAAGATGGAGTAGAAATCCGTGGTAGGTACCGCCGACATGTAGTTCGAAGTCGGTAGCGTTATAATAGTACAACATGTTGGTCTGGAAAGGCGAAACAGCGGTTTCGGCTGTCCCCTCGGGATAGATAATACTAAACGCGAGACAAACTAGGGGTGACCAATTTGAGTTTTCATGATATTTAGCCGGCTTTAATTCAGTCCGGCGGATGTACTCCTTTTGTGGTCCCGTTGGACGAGGGGCCGGACGCTTTCCGGCCTCCGACCACCGCCATGACATGTTTTTATAGAACAGTTGTTCGTGCATAGAATCGAGCCAATTCTCGTGACACAAAAACATCTTCGGGGATTCCTTCTTGATACGGCCGTTTTCATGATACGAGAGATAGTCGTTGAGAATCGTCAAATCTGGACTGAATTCTGGGTTGACTGACCAGCCGCTTGAGGAGGCTGTAGCAGTCTTGAGCGTTGCAGACCTCGAGCGGACAATTAACTTATCGGCGTAGTCCGAATGAGTCGAGCTAAACACAAATGTAATCGAGTCACTAAACCGCCCGTTACTTCGCAATGGCCGCCCTTCTGTCATCCAGACTGTCACATTCTCGACGACATAATCAAGTTCTGCTATAGCTATGGGTAGCAAGTCGTGATTACTTATCAGCTCGCCACCCGAGCTCCCCGGAATAACCTCCAGATAGCACCATTCTGGTCGTAAGGTATTATTACTCCGACTCGAAATGTTGCATGAATATTGCTTCATTCTTGTCCGGCATACTGTGTGGGATTCGATGCCAGGGAATTCTCCGCCAAACATATTATTTGTGTCGGGACAACTGGCAGAGGTTTTGTTGTAAAGCGTTGCGTCGATAATTGAATTGTAGGCGTCAAGCCTGTCATGATACATCAGTCCAGCGAACGGGGTTCCACCGATTGTCCAGTTGGAGTCATTGATATTGCGATCCAGGACAGTAGTGGTATTGACCGGAAGCCAGCCATCGCCATCATGGAACCTATGGAAGACGTTTTCCGTTTCCAGCATCTGTGCAGGCAGTTTATACCAATACCCTGGGAGCACATGAGGAAGGCTGTAAGTATGATTATATTCTAGGGATTCATTTGCACCATGCAGATAAGCTTCATTACTCAGATACCAGTCAATGATTATATGTGGTGGGTATCCGCGTTCATAGGAGTCAGATGTGGTATTAACCGGTATATCTGGTAAGTAGAACCAGTCCTGGCGCGGTGTCATCAGTACTGCGCTGGCTGGCCCCGACAATGAGCATAAAAGGCTGCCCACGAAGAAAAAGGCCAAGAGAGGTAGTAAGCTGCCTTCTTAATCGCTGCTGCTCACTGGAAAGCTCAGCTTTACCCGCCAACTCACCCCTCCTACTAGCACCACCTCGCAGCGCAGAGAGGCAGTAGCGTACGGCCACCCAAAACTCACGTGAGACTAGTAGTGAAAGGTTCGAGAATAGGGTCTCGGCACCCAAGAGCCCCAGCAGTGTGCCATTCTTCATCAGACACGACTGGATCCACTGCCGTGTAATGTTCGCTAGACTGCTAATGATGATCATCCCGTGAAGCTTTGCCGCTAGCTGTAACGCCCCCAATGTAGTTTCTAGTCTCCCGCGGGGTCTTCCCGACTTCCGTACCAATATAGTACTCGGAAAAGTTGAAGAACAGTACTCCTGTGCCGAGGCATGATATGATCGCCGGAATATGCCACAAAAGGCGTTTGAGAGTGCTGCTTGAAAATACGGACTTTCTTTCCTCCACATTAGACATCGAATAGCCCCTGACTGCATCTTGGGTCAAATAATAAACGGTTAGGGACTCTAGATATATAAGACGTGCTAGTATAAGGTAATTGGCATACAGTGCTTACGAACCTCTTAGGTACGAGGGCCATTGCCATGGCATACGGATATCTCGAAGATTCCTCATCTGTCACTAATTCGTTCGTCGTCTGATGGAATAGGTCCTTGCCCTAACCACACGTGAAATGTTAGATTGGACCAGGGGGGCGGGTGCCCTTGCGCTCTTTCTTGGCGAATCAATGAAGTCTCGGTGGTATTCGTAGAGGATTTCAACGGCTCAACTGCATGTGTACTAGTATTTGGCAGGACCGTTGACTTGTATCGATGATACATATACAGTTGCAATCGATGATGATGATAAAAGGAAAGGGAAGAAGGAGAAGGAGAAGGAGAGCGAGCTGACAGGTAAAGATAAAGACAGGACAGGCGCGCCCTTTTGCTCCACCACGACCCGGACCCTTGTCCGGCCGAAGCTACGACAACAAGGGCGAGGAGGGATTAGGAGCTATCTGGAAGAATGTCCTAGGTGCTGATGAGTACGGGAATCAAGGTTTGAGCTGATACACCGTACCGCCCCCCGAAAATATGTTTTCTTCCTCCTTTTCTCCAGCTCACTATGGATATTGGTATGCGTTATCAAAGACAGAATTGGCCCGGTGTTAGATGGCAGGGGAATTGAGAGATATTCCTCATGCTCAGTTAAGGCACCGTAGCTTTTCCCGCGAGATTGCTTATTTGTGAAACTCAGCGATACATAGTCCTCATAGGTAGAGGTATGTCTGTCTCATATGATTGCCGCAGCAGCGTATCTGCCATAAGATTAGTAGAAGTGCACAAACATGACCAATAAAATACCTTATGTGAGCGAGCTAGGGCTCAGCAGAGGGACACAGCCTTCACGGCTGGTAGATATCCAGTGGCGAACTATTACATTTATCAGCATAATTCTAGAGTAATTACAGGATTGGGCTAGACTCTTCTTGCCACAGACATTTTCCAGCCGTAACATTGAGAGTAAAGTACCAAGAGTATCATACGTAGGAAATAGCGGCATAACCTACATAGTATAAGAAGTCCATTAGTTGGGCTCCATAGATTTCAGGGTGTGTTTCTAAGACTAGTGCTGAAAGAAAAATGATATATGACATCCTGCCTGAATGCATCTGCATGCCCTTACTCGCGACCAGCAAGAAGAACCCGAAAATGCAAGTCTTATGCGTGTCTTGGACATGGGGTTCGCGCCGGGGTCATGATTGGAGGTAATCACAACCATTCCGAAAAGTACAATTGTTATGATCGTGAAGTGTTCGTCAAAGCCATGAAGTGTTCGTCAGCGCCGTGAATTATCCTCCCAACACCGTCAAGTGTTCGTCAATGCCGTTAACTGTCCTCCCAATGCCGTGAAGTGTCTTGTGAACGCTGTGAGCTATGGTTGCCATTAAGACTGCGGAAATCTCCTACAAGCAACGATGCTACGTTAAATGTCTCCGGTTTGAATCTGGATGGATATATGCCAAAATTGCGGTGGACCAGAACCTTTCTATATCTACATTGTTCGATATCTGACATAAACCAACAACTCCCCAGAAGAAAAAGGGCAGGCCTTTTAGTATTGATACACCTACATATCGTCGGTTGGTTTATACAGCTACCCTGAACACTGAAAATCGTCGGAAATCCTACACTGCAATTGCCGAAATCTGTGAAGTCAACGCGTACAAGAGTACTCTTTGCAAAGTTTTACCTTGGAGGGATATGGATGAAGAATTGCACGAAAGAAGGTCTTTCTGAGGGCTGAAACCAAGGAAAAATGCCTCAACTTTGCCTTGAGCTATCGACACTGGACAATATATGACTGGAGATGAATCATTTGGATAGACGAGTGCTATATTTGGCTAGATGGAGCCCGTGGCAATATTTGGGTTACCAGATGGCCAGAAGAGATGTATACAGAAGATTGTATCGTGAATAAGTTCAAAAAACAGAACTCTTTCATGGTCTGGGGTGGAGTTCTAGGCGGCAAAAAAACACCACTAATTCTCTGGGACAAACAGAGCTGGGGGACAATCACAGCGAACACCTACATCCACAATGTTCTTACTCCGATTCTATGGCTCTTCTGGTACTGGAAAAACCAAGCAGTAGGAAGTGGAATTGTTGTGATGGAGGATGGTGCCCCGGCCTACAAGGCAGGGCCAACACAAGAACAGTGAGATTTGTACCAGATGCCCTCTCTACAATGGCCACCCTTGTCACCAGACCTTAATGCTATTGAGAATGTGTGGAATCTGTTGAAAAACAGACTTAATTCTAGAAGACCTCGCCCTAGGGGGGTTGACCAGACCAGGGCAGCAATACTTGACGAATGGAACAATAGTATCATAGAGGAGGAAATACTAGAATTTGTTGATAGAATGCCAGAGTGCATTGCTGCTGTAGTTGAGGCACAGGGAGGACACACCCGCTGGTAGAACATGTATTTAGATTTCGAAAACATTGATTTTTATATTTTTTATATACTGTCTCGCACTCCTCCAATCATGACCCCGGTGCGAACCCCATGTCCAAGACACGCATAAGACTTGCATTTTTGGGTTCTTGCTGGTCGCGAGTAGAACCTTACCGGCATTTCCGGACTGAACTGGCCATGGGTCTGCATATGGGTGAAAATCGTGCATAACAACCATATTTTGGTGGTATGCAGACCCAGTCCAGTCCGGAAACTCCAAAAAAAATAACGTTTTTAAACTGGGCCGCTATTACATAACATACTAAATCATCGTCTCCGGGTGTTTTTGTAACATGGTATGCCATGATTAGAGGGAGAAATGAGTAAAGGTAAAATCTACACCCGAACGCTTACCTGTCGTTGCCATCCGCTGACTGGCACATGGCCATGCTTACTCATTTGCTACGCTTTAAAATTTGATGCACGAACCCTCTTACAGTGGATGATACGACGGTAGTTACGGTTTTGAAGGTAACCTTTGAAGACGTAGGAGTGTCACGGTCTTGAAGCTATTTGTGGGGGATGTTTCAAGAAGAGACGCTGTCGGAAGAAAACAAGGCAAGGGTTTTATTAGGGCCATTTTGCACCCGAGGGGTCACGATAAGTCCAAATCAAAATCGTTACCGAACCAGATATTGTAGCTATGTATCCTCCGATAAACGCGGTTCCTATTTATTCTGTCCTCGAATTTCTTCCCACACGCTAGAAATTAAGCTCCACCTGCTCCACTAGAGATAGGGAGAGAATGAGTATTTGTAACGGCAGCTAGACGGATTGGCTATGTGAGTTGTCTGGGTACAAGGGAGAAGGATTATGCAGTGTGGTTGGGTTTAGTGAAGTGGGTTTCTATTATGTTCTATTTGTTTCTGTTACGCGAGGGTATGAGTCAGCATTGGGATAGGGTATGGATATATAAGGGGGGCGTTGTCTCGTGATTTCTTGTTTCTCTTTCTTTCTCTTTTCTCTTTATGCAACCTCTGTACTTTACAGTCACGAATACTATTTGGTTCGCGCTACGTCATAGGGTTTACCCGGTATACTAGACCAGGTACAACCATCCATAGTCCATAGTCCACAGTCTCCGTTCTTGCCTTAGGTGTACCCTTCGGCCCCATAGTCCATAGTCCACGAACTTCCTACGTCCACGTCTTCGCCTCGGTTGTATTCCTTGGCTTCATAGTCCCTACGCCCATAGTCCCCGTTAGACTTAGGTTGCATCCTCTACAGCCAACCAATACAACACCGCCTCGCTTAGCTCTGGTCGCGACCATGTCCGACATCACTCAAGATACGTTGTTGCAGCGTCTTTCAGAATTTTTGACCATATATGGTCCTCTCCCAGCGGATATAGACTTCGGTGATGAACTTACCGAGGCCCATAATCTCATTGCTGAATGTTTGGAGGCTTTCACCAAGCCTTCCGAAATCCCCGAACCCGTTATCAACACGGCTCAAGAAGAGGTCATTATCGATCTCACCAAGGAACTCGAAGCAGCTGACGAAAAGGCTGCCGATCTATTGCAAACCTTGTCCGAATGCCAGGAAGACTTTACCGAGACTATCCAGGGCCGCGATGAAGTTATCGTTGCTCTCAAGGGCGAGCTCGAAGAATCAAAGGCCGAAGAAGAAGAACTTCGGTATCGTCTCGCCCTACACCAGGAAAGTCTCGCCATTGCCGACGAGAACCTCGCCGATGCTGAAGACGAAATTCTTCACATCATCTCTGCTGCAAAAGCCTGGGAAGCCCAAGCCAATGCCACTATTGCCGGTCTTCGTTCTCGTATCTCCGTCTCTGCCGCTACAGTTAAACCTCGCCATGTCTCCAAGTCTCGCTATCTGTCCCCTCGCTCTCAGGATCCCCGTACCATTAGTAATTGGCGAGAAAGGCCAATTGAAAATGTGTCCCCAAAGCCGGCGCTAAAAGGTCAGCCCCTTTGGTAAAAAATGGCAAACCAAAGGGGCCAGCCCCGCCACCTGTTTCTGTTCTCCCTGCTGCTGCTGTGTCTGAGGATAAGATGTCCGAAGACTCTCTTGTTGTTACCTGTTCGGTCTCTCAGAATTCCGACTCCTTCATTCCCACCTACGCTCTCATTGATACTGGAGCATCAGGATATGCTTTTATCGATGAATCTTTCGTACGTTACAATAATCTTGCAATGACCCCTCTTAGGAAACCTCGCCAGGTAGATGTTATGGATGGAAGACCTATCCAGTCAGGAGAAATTACCCACATTGTCGATGTTTCACT